AAGTTAATTAAGTGAATGCAGGTGTTTGAGTGAAATTAATATCCGCCGGGCTAGACAGAAAAGAAAATGTACCTTTTGGTCGAGATCGAACTCGCATCTCCTTCATATTGACAAAACACAAATTGGATAGGTGTGCTTGAAACCGTTTGTCCTTAGCGTTTACGAGAGCAAAGTAAGTCTCGTACGCCCTTTATGAGATATGCATCTCATGTTGGAATTTTCGACCTATGTCTATTAATTTATTGTAATTTGAAAGTAATTACTGGATTTAATTCGAGATTATTTTTTTTTATTAATATAAACGTTATATTAGTAGACAAACATTTACGTAGACAAGAGGCCGGTGGGCATTAATTTTACTGTTAAAATAAGGTCTTATTCAATCAAAGAGGCATATTCGCTAAAATCATTTCTTTTTTTTTTCTGTCTATCTCTCTGTCGATCCATTCCAGACAATTTCTATCTTTTCATCTTAATTCATATCTGTCAATCCCAATTTCTTTCTTTCTTTTTTTCTTTCTTTCTTTCTTTCTTAGTACACATCTATCTATCTATCTATCTATCTATCTATCTATCTATCTATCTATCTATCTATCTCAACTCATTTATATCTACCTATCCATCTTTGTTCCTATATTTTTATCTGAAAGAAAGCCGTGCGAAGTGAAGATGATTAACCAATCCGGAGTTGATTAGAACCTCTAGACCCCACCCCCCAAAAAAAAGGTAAAAGACTAATATGATGATAATTTGACGAATCAGAAGTTTCACAAGATTTATTAAAAACAAATTTTATAATAAGATTTCCCAACATCGTAGAAAGCAAGAAGCAGGAAGGCTTTTGTTGTAGAATTTGGAGTCATGTTCAGGAGCACATTTCTTTAGAATTATTTCAGAGATAACATCAGGTAAGTATGCAAACACAACAAAATTGAAATATATAACGCACTTATCACCGCCTCTAATAATCATGTTTACATAAAGATGTATATGCAAAAAAGCTGAGTATCATCTACCATGTATTCACTTGTGAAAGCATAATGACATATCATATCTTTATTACTTCAAAATTCCCAAAGTAAATTAAATTTCGGCATTACATGACAACAAACGAATAAATAACGATCTAAATTTCAAAAGAGTATCTGTAGCAATATACAGTGCAACCTCGGTTCTCGAACATTTCACATGTTGAACAAATCGGTTTTCGAACAGAAAATTCGGGATGAAAATGCCTCGGATATCGAACAAAATTTCGGTTCTTGAACAACTTAGCAGAACCGAGTTAACCCGAACGAGGTCAACCGCCGTGTTGTATATATTTGTGTGTTGTGACGTGATTTTCTTTTCCAATTTTATTGCCTTGTGACTTTTTCTCTACATTGATTCCTATTGAAAAAATAATTTCGATTTACGAACATTTTGGGTTACGAACGGCGTTCACGAACGAATTAAATTCGTTTACTGAGTTAGGATATTTTTCTGTATGTATCAATGAGTCCGGGCCATACTCTATCAGATTACCGTCTATTTGGGCAACTCAAACGGTATTTATCCGAAGATCTGTTTCGCACAGATGACACTATTGTTGCAGAGGTGCACTGGTCGCTCCATTTGCTTGACGCCGCATTCTTCAGACACCGATGTAACAGGTGTACCAAACTTCATAACGGCTACGCGGAAATGTCGTATCATAAGGCCGCTAACTTGTCCCCTCTGTTCCATTTGTATAGAAATAAAGATGTTGTATTAGTAAAGATTGGAAACATACTTTTCCAACATTCCTCTTTTAACCGTTACTCATAATTCTTCATTGCAATCTGTTGGCCATGATTGAATCAAATAAGTATAAATATTTATTGAACAGAACTTCGTCCGAATATGCTCGTATTCACGTGGGTGACAGGCAAGTAAAACATTCTGAGTAGAGAACAAGCTGGTGAACATTAATTTTACTGTTAAATATAAGAGCATATTCATTTAAAGAGGTGTATTCACTAAAATAATTTCTATATTTCTTATCTGTCTATCTATCTATCTATCTATCTATCTATCTATCTATCTATCTATCTATCTTTCTTTCTTTCTTTCTCAGAACATTTTTTGGATCCATCATAATTCCATTTTATCTTCTTCCCAATTTCTTTATTTCTTTCTTTCTTTTCTTTCTTTCTCAGAACATTTCTATCTTTCCATTTTAATTCATATATGTCAATGTGTCCTTCCTAATTTCAATCTATCTATCTATCTATCTATCTATCTATCTATCTATCTATCTCAGATCATTTCTATCATTCCATCTTAATTCGTATATGTCAATATGTCCTTCACAATTTCTTTCTTTTTCTTTCTTTCTTTGTGTCTTTGTTTGTTTGTTAGTTTGTTTCTTTCTTTGTTTGTTTTTTTTTTCTTTCCCAGAACATTTCTATCTTTCCATTTTAATTCATATATGTCAATCTGTCCTATCTATCTATCTATCTATCTATCTATCTATCTATCTATCTATCTATCTATCTATCTATCTCAGATCATTTCTATCATTCCATCTTAATTCGTATATGTCAATATGTCCTTCACAATTTCTTTCTTTCTTTCTTTCTTTTTTCTTTCTTTCTTTCTTTCTTTCTTTCTATATTAACTCATTTACATCTACCTATCTATCCTTCTTCATATGTATCTACTTAAAGCCGTATTGTTTATCTGAAAGAAGGCCGCGCAAAGTGAGATGCTTAACCAATTCAGAGTTGATTAGAGCCGCTAACTTGTCCCTTATATTTCATTTGTATCGTAATAAATATGTTGGATTAGCAAATTAGCATACCTTACTTTTCCGGCATCCCTTCCTTAACAGTTTCTCATAACTGATTATTGCAATCTGCCAACCATTATTGAATCAAATTAATATCGTCGTCGTCGGCTTTATCTCGTATCCAAGAATTTAATTTCTTTGCTGATCGCTTCCTTTATGATAATGGCGTTGATGACTAAATTCACCGTCAACGTGCAAGTTCGGCACTATAATCGCCCTGTTTCACCAAAACTTGCTCCCGTCAGCCATACTCTCTGACCTTTTGCCTTTAAAAGGGTTGGTCGAAATTTAAGAGAAAATAAAAGTAGAAGAAAAGCCGATGCCGTGAATTTGTTGTCAGAAAGTGACACACACACTTGATTTCATGACCTTCCTCTGGGACACATTTGGAATGAAACATGAAGAATCCAGTTATGAAACTGTCACAGACTGCCGCTGACCTTTATAATTTCGAGTGGCTCCTTCTGTAACATGTCCATCATGCGTAGCCCTCTTCATCCGGTGGTTCAACCTTTGAGATCTGTTGTAACCATCAGCCGCTTGTTCCACTGTTGGGTTCTTTGTGGTTGGCCTCACTTAGTCTAGGTCCTTGTATTCGACCCTGCCGCCAAGATTGGATTTACCAAGAATTTAGAACTCATGACGGCATCACCCTCAGAGTCATTGAACCACGCAATCTTCTCCACCATGAAGAGGATCAACCATCAGAAGTGTGCACATAGAAAAATACACACATAAACACACACATATACATTTAACACTGGATGTCGGTGTAAACATTATACATTTGATGAGGAACTGTTTATTCCGACATCTAAATTAATATAAATATTTATTACGCTGAACTTTGTCAGAATATGATATATATTCGAATTCACGTGGTTGACATATGTAGCATTGTAGTTCAGACAAGTCACCATGTTCGTTCTCAGGGTGCATCTTCTTCTAGTCAACGCTTGTGTCTTAACAAATAACTTTTTTTGCAAGATTGTCACATACGAATTAAAACCATGAGACTATTGTAGTAGTAGGTACATTTTTCTCCTGGTTGTAACCTTCTTGTAGATAAGGGATGCATAGATGAAGCCAGGTGAGCTGAGGTGAACATTCTAATGGGCGTCTTCCCGTTCGCATCGCTGTCACTCTCCGTATCTTTGTCTGAGTATCGATGTTTTCCGCTGGTAGTAACGACTCTCTTACAGAGAACACTGTTCTTTCTTGTCATCTTTGCCTTAAAATTAATTTATCAAGGTCTGGTTTCATTCAGTGACCAATTTTGTCAGGGTCGTTTTTCATGGTCTCTGTGAAGTCCACTTCAATTACCTGATAATTAACAGGACAAGAAATATCTGTCCATATTTTTGAAATGAGGTATTGTCGAACAATCACGTGGTCAAGATAAACAATCAGTTGTGGAGCAAGCTGAGTGAATACTAATTCAACATTGAGAAAGAGAGCTATTTATGGTGCAATGGAGCATCTCATTATGCTAAAGTGGGATAGTCCATTGCTTGGGCTGTGATTGGCTGCTGGTACCTGAGTGGAAGTATTTCTATATAAATACTAGCATGATTTCTCAGTTAGTTTGCAGGGTTTGTATTAAGTTACAACCTGCTTTATTTTTGTCTGCCAGCTGGACGCTAGCTGGGACTCTTACGCCGGTAAGTGCTGTTTATTATTGTTATTCTACAGGTATTTTAGTTATTTACATTTTTCAGACTGTTGTCCTCAACAGAAACAGTCTGTTCCTTCAGGTAAGACTGCAAAACATCGTAAAGCCGTAACACGAGGGAAAATAAAAAAAAATCAGCCGTAGCTGACCACATATGGAGAGAAAAGGGAGATCATCGCTCCCTGTGGGATGAGGTTGAAATAATAGTCAGAACATCACTGTAAGATACGAAAACTTAAGGAATCAGCACATATGCTAGGCCACAAAAATTTACTAAGCCGGCCAATAGAAATGGATAAAATATGGGGACCAGTAATATGGAGTGCTAGAGAAAATCAATAATGACAACAAAATTGCAATAGGAGCTCTGGTAAAAAAAAAAAAAATGAGACTGAGACTTTTATATGTTTATAAGTCCCCATAATTCATATACTGACGTCCTCAAGGATACGTGTCCCAGTGGATAAAATCGTTGGTTGGATCCAGTGACTTGACGCAGGGAGTTGTGGGTTCAATACCTAGCTACTGCATTGGTGAACAAAAACTTAGAAAGTTGAGTTAAAGGGAGATAACTGAGGCCTCATCATCAAAGAAGGATATGATTTGTATTTAAGGCCTGGAGTTTACTTGAGACGCCCACAGACTTTCAAAGCATGGAGCCTCATTGAGAGTGGAATAATTCATCGTGACGAAGAAAGCATGTGTGATTGCTGATGGTGAAACGATACCAGTTTGCTTTTTTAGGTATTTTGAAAATTATCAGCCATTTATTAATTCATTAAGCTATTAGAGCTGTAAGAGCTCGATCTGAGGAGAGAGCATCTTGCTTTTTGAAGCAATATGAGTCAAGGAGAAAAACTGCCAACTACCCGCTGTTGGTTGGCATTGGTATCCATCAACATGTCTTATTCTTTTTTAAATCATATCACCCCAAGCAAGGTAATAAAGCCCCTAAGACACAAGGGGTTACTGAGTATGAAAAAATAAAATAAACAGAGAATCATAAAGGAGCGAGAATAATAAAAAAGAGTAATCAAGAGAACAATGGACAATGATTGATATTACAGTTAAATTTTTGAAGATTAAAGTTGGCTGGAAAAGAGACAACCGGAAGAGATTTCCACCGGAAGAGATTTCCACGAGCGAGAAGTGTGAGAAAAAGAACAGTTGACATAGAACTTACGGTTAGATCTAGCCAATTCACGCGTGAATTTATGAGACCTTGACGCCAGCGTTTAAATTAATAAAGTCTATACACCCTAATGGGGAGTTCATCCGAACAATTACCATGAAATTATTTATAGAAAAGGCACCGGAAAACTACATTACGTCAGTGGCAAAGTGACTGAAGCCGAGATTGAAACCAGTAATATTGTTGATTCTACTTTGGATTTTATCAAGAATCTCTACATATACAGCAGGAGCACTGGACGTAGGAAATAGTCAAAGCAAGTGACGAATGAGAGACTTATAAATATATAAGATAGATTCTTCTTTGGATTTTATCAAGAATCTCTAAATAAATAGGACGACACCAGAATATTTATTCAAAGCAAGGATGAATGGTAGTCTTATAAATATATAAGATAGATTCTTCTTTGGATTTTATCAAGAATCTCTAAATAAATAGGACGAGCACCAGAATATAAGTGGCAGCAATATTCAAAGCAAGGATGAATGGTAGTCTTATAAATATATAAGATAGATTCTTCTTTGGATTTTATCAAGAATCTCTAAATAAATAGGACGAGCACCAGACTATAAGTGGCAGCAATATTCAAAGCAAGGATGAATGGTAGTCTTATAAATATATAAGATAGATTCTTCTTTGGATTTTATCAAGAGTCTCTTAATATTTACCAGGATCAGCAGACCCGATGTGGCAGTAATATTCAAGGCAAGGATGAATGGTAGTCTTATAAATATATAAGATAGATTCTGAAGAGAAAACTGTCTCGCACGACAAAGGGAACCAACTTTCTTAGCTGCAGACTTAGCAATTTATTCAATATAATCTTTCTTCTTGATGTTGGCCGAAAATACAATCAGGATTTTACCGTTCTAGTACTGGAATCTTTGAGATTATATTTCCTTCATTACAAAAGTGAAAACTTAAACAAAGAAACACGGCAGAATGGTGAACGGATACAAGAATTTGATCCTAGCTCGAAAGCTGGTTAGAGGTTAGGGTTAGGGCCTGGCACGAGTTTAAATGTGTAGGTTAAGATTATGTTTCACCATTCTTCAAGTCAAGAGGAGATGATTTTTGACATCTATCACCAGTACGAAGTATCAACCAACCAGAAGTAAATAGCTTCATTTGATAATAGGCGTAACGCCATTTTTCACTAAGATAATTACTGGAGAGTGGTTTAACCAAAATGTACACATATTTACTTTTTTCCACGTAACATTCCAGTGATGAGATATTTTTTTTTATCGTAGCATGTCAGTAACGAGATAATTTTCAAGATATCTGAGGATGAAACTCTGCAGGGAGATGTAGATCTATGCCTTTTCTAAGAATTTAGGGAAAGCAAACAAAACGAGTTGGAAATCGAATGCACTTCACCCATTCTGCAAAGTGTGCAGGGAGAGATATATCCATGCCTTTCCTAAGAGTATTAATGCAAACAAACAAAACGAGCTGGGAATCAAATGCATCTTATCCATTCTACAAACTATGCAGGGAGAAATAGATCCATGCCTTTCCCAAGAGTATTACTTAAAGCAAACAAAACGAACTGGAAATCGAATGCACTTCAGTCATTCTGCAACTCCTATATGCCAAATACAGAGACGCACTTTATAAGATGGAGGTATG